AACTCTACAGTTTAACAACAGTTTAGTATTACAAAAGCTGGATTAATGATACACATATAAACATCATGGCTTTACTGGTTGTATGCAGCTGAGAGAATAGAAAAAATAATTCATAAAATATGCTTTTTCTCTTGGACTTTAGAAAAAGCAATAATCTTGACAACATCACAAAAACATGGAAGGCTTTCATGAAGAAAAATCATGAGAATTTCTAAAAGCTTGAAATAAAACATTGACATCAAGTTGGTGCTATAGCGTGATTGTTCATTGATGGGAATCCTTGTAGGCACAATGTCAGTTCTTATGTTTATCCGCAAATTGAGCATGATTCAGATGAAAAGCTCAGTAGAAATTCTGAAGGGGATAGTAATAGGCTAAAAACCCAAAATTGATACAGGGCTTAAGTAAACACACCAATGGAGTACCACAATATAGAATCCATCAGAAAGAAGGGTGTGGTGCTGTCATAGGAGTTAAAAGGAATGAGCCAAAGCTATTTGTATCTGTATGAGTTCCAAAGTGAAGGTGAGTTAAAAATTGCCAGATGTCACCCAGAATAATGCCTTTTACACTTTTACATAGCAGTTACAGTGTTGGCCTTTCTGGAAGAGAGAGAGAGAGAGAGAGAGAGAGAGAGAGAGAGAGAGAGAGAGAGAGAGCTCTGTGTGGAGGGGTAGTGTGGAAAATGTTAGTATTTGACACACCTATATGTCAGTTACATATGGTTAGGAAATATTCATAATCTTTCTTCTCAAACTGTGTATCTGAACTCTCATAATACAAGTTTATTGTCCCTTTTCCAAAGTGCTAAGACTAGAAGTGTTTCAGATTTGGGGTTTTGTTTTTGACTTTGGTATGTATCTGTGAGATATAAGTTTATATACTTTAAGATACTTACAAAATAAACATTTGTTTATTAGTTTTATGTGTTATGTGTGTGTCACTGTATGAATTTACATGTACCATGTACACATAGGAGCTCATGGAGTTGAGAAGAGAGTGTCATATACCCTAAAACTGGAGTTATAGTTTTGAGTCTCCATGTACAGACATGTGCTGGGAACCAAGCCTTGGTCCTCTGTAAGAGCAGTTAAGCATTGGTACTGAATCAGCTCTCCAGCTCTCAATTTTAACCCCCATACCATCTCTGTAGTCCCCCCATTTTACATATTTTTAATGTGCCTGATTTAAAAATTTTTTTTTCAATATACGGTCTCATTCTATAGCCCAGGCTGGCCCTAAACTCAGAATTCTCCCATATGGGAGTCCTGAGGGCCTGAGGGATTACAGGCATGTGTTTCCACACCTGGCCTAGGCCTGTGTTTTGACTGAGACCATCACCTAAGGCTTGATAGAGAATCTGTAGTAGCCATCTCTTGCTCCCCAATTTTAAGAATTAGGTGAATTTCAGATTTTTGGATTGAGGGTACTCAAGCTTACTTTAAAGTATTAGGAGAAATGCCTATCTTGATATAGTTAGAGCTATTGCTGCCTTTATTTTCTTGCTATTCAGTATTTTTCTGACAAGTCACCTTGGCTCAGGAATAGGTCTAGAGGCTTGTTGTCTTTGACCATCCTCTACAAGATGGCTTCTGTGAGCAGTGGGTGCTGTCCACTGTAGAACAGCTAGCTAGGGGTAAGACAAACATCAAATTGTTGTTGAAGGTCCTTTCCTAAAATTGACACAAATCTCAAGTGCTATATTGGACTGAACTGGCTTTATCATGCAAGTTGAGTTAATAGATAGGTCTACATTTGAAGAGTTGAGAGCCCCTATTTCCTGTTGAGAGCCTCCAAATCCTAAAACCAGAAGAAGCAGCATTCTCTTAGAATCTAAAGATGGTAGTGAATTCCATTCAGCCAAACCTGGGAGTGGTCATTGGCCTTGGTTTCCTCCCCTCTTAGGGCTTTCATCAGCTAGTCATCCACTGAGTATTTTAACAGTAGTAGGTGTGGAAAAATACCTGTTTCACAAAAGTTTCTGGAAATGACAGAATAGAGATCCTGTGGTGAGATAGTACAGAGTATGGGTGGGTACACATCTGGCCCAAATCTTAGCCATGCAGGCATGACCCAGGGGAAAGCCCTTGAAGAGATGCACTCTGTGGTCTCAGTACAGTGAGCAGACCACAAGCATAGAGGCTTCTGCAAGCATATATGAGAGAGACCCTCCTGCCTCTATTAGTCTGTGGGTCAAGAGTCTCCCAAGATGTGTTTGTGTCCCCACCTAAATTCTCTATGGGGTGGGGGGTATTTCAGCTTACAATTAGAGTCTATCATGAAGGTAAACTCACTTTGAAAGCATTAGGCAATCTTTTTTTTTCATTTTCATTTCATTGCTGTTTGCAGAGATACTGCCTTAGCATTAAATGTTTTAGTGTATTACTAAAGACTGGGCTTTTCATTTTCCCATGAAAGCTTTCTTTACAAAAATTCCACCTCAGGAATTAATGGTATGGATATAATTTCTTTTTAAAGCAGCTTGTTCTGCAAAAGTTGGGAAGACACATTTATGCTGTTATAAACATACTTTGTATGTGTGGCAGGGGAAAAATATTCAACAAGTTTGCTTACCTTGATTCTGAACTCCCCACTGAGAATGCATTTTGTGTGTCGTGTTTGCCATGTGGGGTCAGATTAAAGGCTCATTTCCAACCTTGGCTTTTCTGTCTGAGCTAAGCAGTTGGAAGGCACGAAGCTGCACAGAGCCCTACAGTCCTCAGCTGGGAACAGGCCCTGCTTTGTTGATGGCCCTTCACTGTTTTAGGGGCTGGTGACTGGTGCCAACTACAACTCTATGAGAGGCCACCCCTTGAGTGCGTAGTTGTCTGTAGGCCACGTGGTGTTTATGGAGCTGTGGCCAGGCTGAGCCAGGCCTAATGTGGGTCTACCCTGGAAAAGGTGAGCTCTGGAGAGCTTTTGTCATCTGACTAGACATCTGACTGCGCTGTCATTTGTGCCTGAGTATGCTCTTGGTAGGCCCTGTAGGAGTTTCAGTTGGGGGATTCTTGCTCCTGGTGGCGGGGGGGTAGGGGGTTGGGAGAATGGGGGATGGAGGATATCAGCTGTATTACACACTTTGTTCCTGCCCTCCTGTACACAGAATAGAACCAGCAAGTGAGTGTGCTCCTGGAAAGGCTTATTTTAATAGCCTTCCTTGACTGTCACATGTGAGAGGGCTTGGCCTTAGCTTTGAATCAAGTGTCACTAGTGGTCCATAGCTAGAAGTCAGAATCCATTTTGGAAATAAATGCTGCCTTGCCCAAGCTTCAAAGGCTTGTGAGGGTTGGTTTCAGACTTTTCTTTTTTTCCCTAGAAGTGATGACAGGGATGGGGTGTGGGGCCTTGGTCCTACAAGCCCCAGGTGACAGTCTATTGAAGAGTGAAAGTCACAACAGCCACAATGGGGAATAATCACCATGGAGAGTATGCTGGCAGACACTTGCCATGAGCATTTCAGTCCTCCTTCAAGGGGTTGCACTGTGAGGAGACTGAGTGTCCTAGAGTGTGATGCTGAGGTGTTTAAACAATGCTCCTTCTTTAAAATGTCCATAATTAACTCTTTAGAAATAGTAATTCATTCCTAATGGGTTTCCTTACTTTGCCCCTGTTAAAGAGGAGCATAAGTCTCATTGCCCAAGCAACCAGTGTCTACAGAGCCTGGATACAGTGTTCTTGTCTTTTTCACCTTTTCCTCTTGTTACCCTTCCCTCCTAGCCTTTCCCTTTTACACTGGAGTTCTGCTCATTTATTCTTTGCCTATCTTCTTCAGAGGGAGTAGACTATTTCTCCTTTCTAGCTCAGGGGATGATGACATTGACATGGGTTAAAAGCTTGGTGAAGCCAGGTAGTGGTAGCATACACCTTTAATCCCAGCATTCTGGAGGCATTGGTAGGTGGATCTCTGTGAGTTCGAGGCCAGCCTGGTCTATAGAGCCAGTTCCAGGACAGGCTCCAAAGCTACACAGAAAAACCTGTCTCAGAACCCCTCTCCTGCCTCCCAAAAAAGGCTTGGTGAAGTGGAACTGAGCCTGGGCTATCAGCCAGCAAGGGGTAAACTCAGTTGCCTCTGATCCTTTGGACTTTGGTCTGTAAGCAACAAGAATGGTATGCTTCATCCTCTTGGTTTGGGGTATGTTGTCTGACAAAGGGCCCAGTGACACTGCCCCTTTCTTCTGTGAAGTCTGCAGATGTGAAATTCCAAAACTAGAATTCATTCAGCTTCCCAAGACTTCCTTTCTGTTTCCCAGTATGGAAATTGTAGGCTCCGTGACTGAGATGGTATTGCTACAGAACGGGTGTTGTCCTGGATCAAGTTCTTGATTACTCTCCAGGACTGCAGTACCGAGGTGTTTGTCTGTGACCCTAGGGACTTTGTTTAGGGCACTGGCAACAAAGCAGAATATGGCGTGCCAGGGACCTGCTGGGAAAGCCTGCATATGTGTTAGGGTTGATGGTTTGTTTGATTGTTTAACTAAAACCAGCCAACTTTACATTGAAGAAAAATACATAAAAAAAAAAATTTCAACCCAACATGAAAAATGAAAGGTTATCAGATTATTCAGAATCACAGTGTGTGGCATACTTAGTATACTAAGTAACCATACTTAGCTTTGCCACATTGCCACTACTCCTGTTGGTTTCACTTCTAAATAGCACTTGTGCTCATGAATGGTTTGAATCCTCTAGTGGGTAGGTTTCAAGGGGGCACCTTGAACTTGGGCCATGGCCACAGGCTTTGGAGGCTATTGAACATTACAAACTCTAGCTATCCCCCTGTACTCTGCCATCTGCCTGTTTGTATCTCTGGGCACTAGAAGAACTGTTGAGACTATAGGTAGAAATTATATATTTCTGGAGAGGGGGTAAAGACACAGGTTTGCTTCTACTCTTAATTTAGTCTGAAGAAGTGGTCAGAAACCTTAAGGTTGTGATAGGGGGTAGGCATTGTCTAGTTCCTCGGTTTCTCCAGAAAGTAATCTGCTTGTTTATATTGGCAGGTGGAAAGCAATCCAGCCAAGATGGATATCTACGACACTCAGACCTTGGGGGTTGTCGTCTTTGGCGGGTTTATGGTTGTTTCTGCCATCGGCATCTTCCTGGTGTCAACCTTCTCCATGAAGGAGACGTCTTATGAAGAAGCTCTTGCCAACCAGCGCAAGGAGATGGCAAAAACTCACCACCAAAAAGGAGAGAAGAAGAAGAAGGAGAAAACTGTGGAGAAGAAAGGAAAGACCAAGAAAAAGGAAGAGAAACCTAATGGGAAGATACCTGACCATGACCTAGATTCCAACGTGACCATCATCCTCAAGGAACCAGTGCGCGTACCTGCTATGGCTGTGGCTCCAACTTCAGTCCATTCTTCTATGGTTTTTCCCCCTGTTGCCACAGTACCAGCCATGCCTCAAGAAAAGCTGGCTTCCTCCCCTAAGGACAAAAAGAAGAAGGAGAAAAAGGTGGCAAAGGTGGAGCCAGCAGTCAGTTCTATTGTGAATTCCATCCAGGTTCTTGCTTCAAAGTCTGCCATCTTGGAAGCCACACCCAAGGAGGTGCCTATGGTGGCTGTGCCCCCAGTGGGCTCTAAGGCCAGTGCTCCTGCCACCAGCAGTCAGGGCAAGAAGGGGGAGGGAGCACAGAATCAGGCTAAGAAGGGGGAGGGTGCCCAGAACCAAGCTAAGAAGGGAGAAGGGGCCCAGAACCAGGCCAAGAAGGGGGAGGGGGCCCAGAACCAAACTAAGAAGGGGGAGGGAGCCCAGAACCAGGGCAAGAAAGGGGAGGGGGCCCAGAACCAAACTAAAAAGGGGGAGGGAGCCCAGAACCAGGCCAAGAAGGGGGAGGGAGCTCAGAACCAGGCCAAGAAGGGGGAGGGGGCCCAGAACCAGGCCAAGAAGGGGGAGGGGGCCCAGAACCAGGCCAAGAAGGGGGAGGGGGCCCAGAACCAGGCCAAGAAGGGGGAGGGGGCCCAGAACCAGGCCAAGAAGGGGGAGGGGGCCCAGAACCAGGCCAAGAAGGGGGAGGGGGCCCAGAACCAGGCCAAGAAGGGGGAGGGGGCCCAGAACCAGGCCAAGAAGGGGGAGGGGGCCCAGAACCAGGCCAAGAAGGGGGAGGGGGCCCAGAACCAGGCCAAGAAGGGGGAGGGGGCCCAGAACCAGGCCAAGAAGGGGGAGGGGGCCCAGAACCAGGCCAAGAAGGGGGAGGGGGCCCAGAACCAGGCCAAGAAGGGGGAGGGGGCCCAGAACCAGGCCAAGAAGGGGGAGGGGGCCCAGAACCAGGCCAAGAAGGGGGAGGGGGCCCAGAACCAGGCCAAGAAGGGGGAGGGGGCCCAGAACCAGGCCAAGAAGGGGGAGGGGGCCCAGAACCAGGCCAAGAAGGGGGAGGGGGCCCAGAACCAGGCCAAGAAGGGGGAGGGGGCCCAGAACCAGGCCAAGAAGGGGGAGGGGGCCCAGAACCAGGCCAAGAAGGGGGAGGGGGCCCAGAACCAGGCCAAGAAGGGGGAGGGGGCCCAGAACCAGGCCAAGAAGGGGGAGGGGGCCCAGAACCAGGCCAAGAAGGGGGAGGGGGCCCAGAACCAGGCCAAGAAGGGGGAGGGGGCCCAGAACCAGGCCAAGAAGGGGGAGGGGGCCCAGAACCAGGCCAAGAAGGGGGAGGGGGCCCAGAACCAGGCCAAGAAGGGGGGAGAGGGAGCTCAAAATCAGGGCAAAAAGGGGGAAACAAATCAAAACCAGGCTAAAAAAGGTGATGGAGTCCAGAACCAAGCAAAGAAGGGGGAAGGACCCCAGAACCAGGGCAAGAAGGGGGAAGCAACTCAAAACCAGGGCAAAAAAATGGAAGGAGCCCAGAACCAAGGCAAGAAGACAGAGGGAACCCCAAACCAAGGCAAGAAGGGAGAAGGGACCCAAAACCAGGCTAAAAAATTAGAAGACTCTCCTAACCAAGGAAAAAAAGCAGAGGGGGCCCAGAACCAGGGTAAGAAAGGAGAGGGGGCCCAGAACCAGGGCAAGAAAGGAGAGGGGACCCAGAACCAGGGTAAGAAAGGAGATGGGGCCCAGAACCAGGGCAAGAAAGGAGAGGGGGCCCAGAACCAGGGCAAGAAAGGAGAGGGGGCCCAGAACCAGGGCAAGAAAGGAGAGGGGGCCCAGAACCAGGGCAAAAAGGGGGATGGAAATCCTAACCAAGGCAAGAAGGGGGAGGGGGCTCCCAACCAGAGTAGAAAGACAGATGCAGTTGCTAATCAGGGCACAAAGACAGAAGGTGTCTCAAACCAGGGAAAAAAGGCAGAGGGGTCCCCCAATCAGGGCAAAAAGGCAGAGGGGTCCCCCAATCAGGGCAAAAAGGCAGAGGGGTCCCCCAATCAGGGCAAAAAGGCAGAAGGAGCTCCAAACCAAGGCAAAAAGGTAGAAGGGTCCCCCAACCAGGGCAAAAAGGTGGACACAGCTTCCAATCAGGGTAACAAGTTAGAGTCAGCTCCTGCCCAGGGTAAAAATTCAGGAATGGTCCAGAGCCAGGAGGCACCAAAGCAAGAGGCTCCTGCAAAGAAGAAGTCTGGTTCAAAGAGAAAAGCTGAGCCTGGTGAGTGCCCTGACTCCCTGTGAACTTGAGGGAAAACTGTTTGTCTGTGACTGGTGGGTGTCCTTAGTGTTGTGTTGTTTCATTTTTCCTGTTCACCCCAGATTGGGTATTGATGACAGACTAGAGAAACAACTCCACCCAAGTTGCAGCCTGATGAACTGAGCTTTGGGCTTTTATACAGGAGCAGGGGTGAGGGTTTACTCACAATAGCATGGATGAGGCTAAGGCAGATGCATCACCACCAAAAAGACCACCCCAGCCTGGCTGTCGGTTCAGGAAAGCTGCCTTCTTGGAGCTCCCTGCCCCTGCTCCACTTGGAGGCAGCTCCACTAAAGAGTCCTTTCTCCCCCAGTAATTATATTGGTTATGTAACCTTGAGGAGGGAGGGGCATGTGAGTCTTGTGACTTTCTGAGCTTTCTGAGTTGTATGAGCCTCGATCCTCTGTAGGAGGGAATGTTTTAGTTTGTGAGGCTTAGCTACCAACCAGGCAGGTGCCATCTGCATCAAGTCAGCTGCTACTATAGTAAGGCTATGGAATAAGCACCCCAAGTTTTATTGCCTTATAACAGCAGGTCTTTGCTCCTGTGTCTATGGTTGGCTAAGGTTGACTGGTTTAGGTCCTGTCTGCTGGGAGGCTCTGCCTCATGCTGTGTCTTAACTGGGTTGGCTCAAGGCTACTCCTAATGCATGAGTTCTTTTGGGGGCCTGGACTGAAGTGTCTGTGTCTCTGCAGGGCAGAGGCCCTCTCAGGGTTGTAGCAGAGGCATAAATCATTTTGAGCAGGCACATTCAAGCTGCATCTCATTCTTCAGGGAAAGTCATGTGAAATGGGCCTGAGTCAAGGTGCGGGACACCCACTGTGTCTCCACTGAGGGACTGCACAATGAGGTGTGAGGAACAGTCTAGTCAGGGTAGCCTTGGCAGATTTTCTTATAGGTCTGGCTGTATCTTACCAGTCTGTTCTGTGTTCATACCTCACCTAATGTTAGCTTTATTCATTTAGTGTTTTTAAGAAGTAATTAGTTTGCCAGGCTGTGGTGGCATACACCTTTAATCCCAGTACTTGGGAGGCAGAGGTGGATCTCTGTGAGTTTGAGACTAGCCTGGTCTACAAGAGCTAGTTCCAGGACAGCTTCCAAAGCCACAGAGAAACCCTGTCTCCAAAAAAAAAAAAAAAGTAATTGGTTTCTTTCATATTGCCCCACCCCTTCTTCCCTAGTGATTTACTGAAGCAGTATAGAACATTAATGTAGATTCCGTATCATATAGTCAGAAAGTAGATAATACAGAACACTAATTTGCCTTGGTGTTTTTAGTGGGTTGTGACTATACAGATTCAGTCATAGTTTAAAAAGTGGTTGAATTTCTGTGACTTGTGAAAATCACTCTAGCAAATTCTAACAGGGTTTTGAGGTAGTCATTCTCTTAGGTCTCTTCTGAGGAATCTGAACTGTGGCACACAAGTGCTTAGTAGACCTGATGGCCTCAGACTTCCTGGGGGCCTGGCATCTGCTTATGCAGGCACAGCACAACTACCAACTTGAACAGTGACGGGTGTTATGACTCCAAAGAGACATACTGAGATGGCATAATGGAATAGGCTGTATAAGAATCTAAACAAAAATGACTTTAAAAAGTAATCTTTCTTCATATTTCAGTAAATTGATTCCAAGACCCCCCCCCCCCCACCCCGTGAGTTCCAAAATCTACAAATGTTGAAGTCTCATAAGTGGCATTAGTGTTTGCATATCAGTAACTCCCTAAGTCCTGCATATTTAATTAATAAGAATCTGTTTATTATCTACCCCCTGTAGTGTTGGGGATCAAACCCACGGCCCTTAATTTGTGTTAGGCAAGTTTTGTATCAATGAGCTACGTTTGTAGCCTGTCCCATATACTTTAAATCACCTATAGACCGCTTATGATACCTAATACAATGCAGATGCTATGTAGATAGTTATGTTATATTGTTTAAGGAATATTTACAAAGAAGAGAACTGCATATGTTCAGTAGAGACATGGATTTGGGTTTTTTTGTTGTTGTTAATAGGTTGTGTTTTTTCTTTTTCTTTTTTTTGGTTGTTTTTTGTTTTTGGTTTTGTTTTTTGCTCCTTTTGTTTTTTAATGGTTTTTTGATCCGAGGTGGTTGGATCTGGATGGGGAACCTGTGGAGGCAGAGTGCTGGCTGTCCCACAGTGAAAGTCCAGTTGTTCTTTGACTTCTTTTTTTTATGCAGTGTGCTGATATTTTATTCTTCAAAAATTGGAAGCAACCCTGAAGAAGGCATTGGCTCTTGTGGCTGTGACAACACCCCCTGAAGTTGGAAACACCTGTGTGGAAGGCCTTCGATATCATTCATTCTCCTTGGTGCAAGGCCACATGGGACATGAATCCTAATGAGATGTTGCAGTAGATAATTTTCCACTAAAATTTGATGGCCTTTTAAAATTACTTTAGGGGCTTAAAATTGGGTCTTGATATATTATCTTAAGTGCTGTATTCCTCATCCCCAAAAGAATAAAGCAATAATGATAATTTCCAAATGCCAAAACAATCTAGAAAGAATCCTGAGAGTGTGTGCGTGTGAAATGGAGGCTGGACTTCCTTTTCTTGTGATTGTCAAGTTCTCTGGATGTAGATGAGCATATGAGGCCCCATGCAGCAGAGTGATTCCTGTCTGTAACTGTTGAAATATAGAGCAAAACCCACTAACAGGAGCCCCTGAGCTGAGGTGGTAAGGGAAGCCCAGAGCTGTCAGTGAGGGAGCATGGTCCCACAGACAGGCTAGCACTCCAGCTATGGGGAAGAGACCATGTTTTCCAGCTGTGTGAGTTCAGGACAGGTGATGGGAAGCATTTGTAAATATGTGGAGGGAGTTCTTGACTAGCACTTGGCTATGTGTGGATCCTAAGATGCCAGGTACTGCTCAGTTGACAAGTCTATGGGTTTAGCTCTTCCCCTACGATCTCTCACTGTAGCACAGGCTGGCTTCAAAATGATGGCTTCCTTGCCTCAGCCTCTCAAATCCTGGGATATACATCTGAACCATCATGCCTGGTGTTAGACAACTTTTTTTCCTAAATACTTAGGAGAGTGTATTGGTGAGGCTCTCTGGTTACCTGTAGAAAACCCTTATGTCCTTGAGGGTGTGTGAAGGTCCGTGAGAGTTCTTGTTTTTGCTGTGTGTAACTCTGTTCCCACTTAGTACCCATAGGTAAGTGAGTCCCCACCTCATCTCTACGATGTCAAGACTCCCCTCAGCTTCCTGTTACACTCAGGATGTAGGGGACTTTGAGTACCTCCTGCTTACTGTGATGTGGACAGGGTGAGCATGCTTTATGTGGAGGTTGTCCATTCCACTCCATGGCCAGTTTTTGTGGAAGGTGATGGAGATAAAAGAATCATGTCTTCTCATTGTGTCTTTTAGTGCAGTGGCCAGACCCTGTGTGGCATTATCAGACCAAAACAGGCAAGAACGTGTTCGTGAGTTACTGTTTTTATAGTTGCATTGTATACTTGGCTCTGCTCTGTGCTAGGGTTATCTGAGAATGGCCCAAACTGTATAGCTCCTGATGGTTGTGGGTTGTGAGGACAGCTTGGTGTTTGCATTTACATATAGTGCTCTATCTGGTTCCTTGGGGCCTGGCTGCCCTTGGCGAGACCACCCTTGGGTTTGCCTAATGGATTCTGTCACAGTCTGTTTATTCTCCAGCAAAATATATTTCCACTCTTTCTAGTTCATGGGCTCTAAAGATATTTCTTATTTACTGTGGCCACAATTCTCCTGATTGATGATACCATGGGAGGGTGACCCAAACTCAGCTATGGCTAAGCAGTGATGGGAAGAGTAAGGCAGGTATCTACATAGTACCTGCAGTGTCTCAGTGCTTGTGTGGGTGGGGGTCAAAATGAGGCAGAGGCTAGGGTAGGCTCAGTAAGACACACCCACACCCTTTTTCTCCATTGATTGGTGTTTCCAAGTACAACATATGAATGAATATATATAAAAATTTTGTGAGAAACGTTCAGGCCTGCTTCTCATTCATGCCTGCTTACCTGGCAACATTGTCACAATTGCTAGACAAAGAAAACTCCAGGGAAACTTGGCAAAGTAGGGCTCTCACTTCAGACACTGGAGAATTCTGATTTGGGGTCTCATGCGTAAAGACCCAGTACAAAAACAAACAAACAAAAACAAAAAACCAGTATGAAGCCAGTGAAGTGCTTGGGATTCCTGGCCATCTTGCTTCAGAAAGCAACTCCAGTGGGAACTCAGATTCACCTTGTCTAACAATTTTTTGAACTTCCTGCATGATTTTTGTCACTGAACTGAAGCATGAACTGTAGTAACTGAAAGTTTGGGGCATGAAGTCTAACAGTCTGCATATTTAGCAGAGAGTCATCGAATTGTCTTACTGGTGTGATACATGATGTGTACTAGAATTCACCTGATTTAATATCAAACATTGCAGCTGGGACAGTGTTGCCAGGTGAGTAGGCACTATTGAGAAGCAGGCCTGATTATTTTCGCAGAGTTAGATCTTATGTTCTAATTCTCTTTGGTTGGGCTGTACATGACCCCAGCTGGCCTGCCTCTAGCCACTTTGCAACCTAGTCACAAATAAGAGTCTGTCTGTCCAAAGAAAGCTGCCTGCACTCTGGGGACCACATGTGCCCAACACAAAAGTATTATGTTAGAACTGCAAGTGGGTGCTAGGTGTATCTGCAGGTAGGGCTAGGCAGATGAAGCAGCGTGAGATGATGCTATGAGGATCCAGGAAATGCTTGAGGGGTGGGTCCCCTCACTGGTGTAGAGCTGGCTGGTAAGGGAACTTTCCCCACAAATGCAGGAGACTAGACTTGGGCAGGGGATGAGGAGGGCCCTTGCGCCATGAGGTTTTAACAACTGGCTGCAGCAGTGAGGGTTGAGAGTTGTGGCTGTCTGATAAGAACTACTGGTCACCCTGGCTATTTAAATTAGTTCAAGATAAGACTCAGT